ATTCGAGGAGCTACGTTGCCTCTGGAGCTGCAAGTTCTAGTCAACAATTACCGCCAATCAAAAAACAAGTAAACAAATAGATAAAAAATGATGAAAAAGGCAGAAAAAATAGACAAACAAATAACAAGAAGACGAAAGACTTTAGAAAGGACCATGAGTTCGTTCTGAAGATCTTTCCTTTGATGTTGTTAGTGCCATCCCTCCAGCTTCCACAGTGCCCCCAGCACCCGCCATACCCCGCCCTCCCTCACCCCTCTCCCAGAAAACGAAAGCAAACGAAACCGCCCCCGAGGACTTATTCTAGCCCATCTCTAACGTAAATAGAAACACCCGAGGGCTATTCCGGACGGACCAAGGTCTTCTCCCGGCCTATATGCAATCTCTGACAACCGGAACGAGGTGCCCAAGCGCGGACAGATGAGTCAGCCGCGGCGCACACGTGGCGGGGAAGCACACCGGGTGACGTCGAGCCCGCCCGCGTTCCACACCTGCAGGCAGCACGTCACCGTCCTCGGCTTCGGCCTCGCCTCGGCTCTAGGGGACACTCCTCCGTGATTGATATCTAAAATCTATCTCATTTGCAGTCACAGAAGATTTCATAATGGCCATCTGCAGAAACGTCAGAAATGCTAAACATCGTCTTGATTTGCGTATAAAACTCTCCAATCACTACAGGTAACGTACGAGGATAAAAAACGGTTTTCACGAGATAAGATTTGTAAACAACGCTTCACTAGTCTAATCCCGCCTAATCCCTATAATCCCCAATCGTGCTAGTATGAGCATCATGATCAATTAACAAGATGCTCATTACTCTTGCGCCCCCCCCCCCCCCACGACTGGGCAAAGGCAATTACCGCGGTTATGGGCCTGTAAACGCCCTTAGTGAGAGCAATAAACAAAATGTTCCGCTAGTAAATCACACGGAAAGGGCCTCCCTAGGCTTAACAAGGCCCTGCGGTGTCCACCGGCGAGGTCAGCGATGACCGATGCAAGCCCCGCAGGAGGTGACCCCGTGACCCGTGACCGTTCCCGCGGAAAGAGGCTCCGACCCGTTTCCTCTCCGCTGCCGAGGTCCGCCCAGGCCGCGGCCCTCTTCCCGCCCGCGTTGCTGCAGTGCCTGTGTGGCGCTGTTGCCGAGGGCCCGCCGCGGACCGAATTCCTCCGCCCTTTCATCAGGCGGCAAAAGCGGCGCCAAAGTCGACGCCAGCCCTCCTCCGCTGACGACCAGCGACGGAATTTTCCCCGGTTTCCCGAAACGGGGGCTCCGCGGTCGCCACTTCCTCGGACGGTTTCAGGAATCGAGCTGCAGCCTTTGTGGACCGGTTGGCCGGCACGGAAAACGGTGACGCCATCGACACGTCACGGTGAGATCACTCCCGTGACGTCACAGTGACGCAGCGGCCATGTGACCGCAAGCATCCTGTCAGCTGGCGGCTCGGCCTCGAGGGAGCAGTCTGGCGCGCCCTGCGCCCGATGCTGCTGCCGGCGCTGCCCGCCCTCGGCCGGGCCAGCGCCGCACCTGGCACGGCGCCCGCCCTCGCCGCTTTAAAGGTGCACGTGCGGGGCGCGGTGGCAGGCGGGCGCGAGTCTCCTGCAGGCAGCGCGGCGGCGGCGGCGGGGCTGCCGGCGGCGGTGACACTCGGGCGCGGGGAACCGGCCGCCGCCCGCGCGGGTATCGATCCGCCCTCGGCCGCTAGTCATCGCCCGACCGGCACGCCGGCCATGACTTACGGCGCCCGCCCTCATGCGGCCACCCGTACGCTCTCGGCCCCCACGCCCACGCACTGCCACGCCTGGCAACATCACGAAACGATGCCGCAGCCCTCGCCCTGGCCATGGCCTCATCGGTGCCACCCCGGCAGTGCCATGAAGCTGCGCCGAATTCCCTCGGGGCGATCGGCCTCACTGCTGTTACCTTTGTCATTGAGATTACTCTTATCAAAAAATCTTCACCTTTGTGATCAATGGAGCTGACCTGCCCTCACCACCACCAATAAAGTTGCCAGCGGCCGAAGAGGTCAACTCTAGCCTCGAATGCATGTATTCATTTGAAAACCTCCCTCCTCCCCCCAAAAAAAAAAAAAAAAAAAAAAAAATACATAAATAAACAAAATCTTCCAGTCTCATTTCCGCATTACAGTCCGTGGAAACATTGGATAACAGCATTACAAAATGAAAGTTTCACTTCCGTACGAACTCAACAGTACAATCCTGCCCTTTTGCCCAGGAAACAGAAATGTCAGCCTTAGGAGTAGTCTTTTTGTGATCTCATGAACCAATGCCTCCCTTTGGATTCCCGCGGTGTGTCCATATGCCGCGAACATATGTAAATGTGTGTGTGTGTGGGGGGGGGGGCTTAAGTGTGGGTGTGAGTGTATGTATGAGTATGTGTGTGTGTGTAGCTGTGCGAGTGAGTGGGTGTGTGGGTGTGTGGGGAGAGGGTGGTGAGTGAGTGGGTGGTGTGAGTGAGTGGGTGGGTGAGTGAGTGGTGGGTGAGTGAGTGGGTGGGTGAGTGAGTGAGTGGGTGGGTGGGTGGGTGGGTGAGTGGTGGGTGGGTGAGTGAGTGAGAGGAGAATGAGAGAGAGAGAGAGAGAGAGAGAGAAAGAGCGAGAGTGAGAACGAGAGCGTGGGTGAACGCGAATGCGAATGTGAGTGAGACCGAGTGGGCATGAGCATGGATATAAGGCCCAGGACTGGATGTTGATGTGGATGTGTGTTTGGGCGTGAGCGTGCCAGTAAGCGTGAGAGCGTGAACAAGTTCCGGTCCCAAATTCGGCTGACAAACCTGCCTGTGGTGTGACATGACCGTCTCGCCAATAGCCACACATCATGACCAACCAGACGACACATTCTTCCCAGTGTTTATCAAGTGGCATTTCAACACTTACCGAAGGATAGGGTTAAACAATCATCCCTGAACTTTATGCACCGGTAACACAGACACACAGAATCACACACACACACACACACACACACACACACACACACACACACACACACACACACACTTTTTTTCCCTTAATTAACATATCAAATACGAGTTCCTCTTTAACCCAACTACCCAACCTTCACCTACGAGGCTCTCCTCCCTCTCCCTCTGCCTCTCCCTTCCCTCCCCTCCTCTCCCCCTCTCCCTCTGCCTCTCCCTTCCCTCTCCCTCTGCCTCTCCCTTCCCTCTCCTGCCTCACACCTGCCTCTGCCTCTCCTTCCCCTCTCCCTCTGCCTCTCACACCTGCCACAAACACCACCTGACGCACCAACTACTCCCTCCCTTGCGTCTCTTCAGAGGAAACACCCTCCCCCTCCCTCCTCTCTCCCCCTTCCTCCCTTGTCCCTTTCCCTCCCCTACCCATCTCCCTTTGGGCTCCTCTCTCGCTGCCTCTGCCTAGGTTACCTCAAGTTCCGTACTGGGTCTCCTTATGGGAGCTATGGCGCATTTTCCTCTCTCCTTCTCGTCTCTCACTTTCGCTCTCACTCTCACGCCCCCTCTTTCGTTCTCTCTGCCTCTCGCTTTCATTTTCACGCCCACTCTTTCTATTATTTTTTTTTTTACCCACCCACACTCACTTTCAATCTTACACGCTTCAATGCCACATGAACTCACACCCTCACTCTCATTCTAGGCCTAACCCTCACTCTCACCTCTCGCTCATCCTCATCCACCGTTCCCTTTCAACTGCCCACTCATTCTCACCGCACTTTCACCCTCACCCTCTCCCTCCCTCCCCCTCGTCCCTCCTCACCCTCACCCTCTCCCTCCCCCCCCTCGTCCTCATCCTCACCTCCCCTCCTCCCCTCGTCCTCGTCCTCCCTCACCCTCTCCCTCCCTCCCCCTCGTCCTCCCTCGTCCTCACCCTCACCCTCTCCCCCCTCCCCCTCTCCTCCTCATCCTCCCCCTCCTCGTCCTCACCTCACCCTCTCCCTCCCTCCCCTCGCCTCAGTCCTCACCCACCCTCTCCTCCCTCCTCGTTCCACTCCCCCTCCTCGTCCTCCTCCTCCCTCACCCTCACCCTCACCCTCTCCCTCCCTCCCCCTCGTCCTCAACCTCTCCTCACCCTCTCCACCCTCCTCCTTGTCCTCACCCTCTCCCTCCCTTACCCTCCTCCTCACCCTCCCCGCCCTCACCCCCCCTCCCCTTCCCACAGGCCGCAGAGCCGACCTTGAAAACCGTCCTGGCACTTAAGCCTTCTTGACCGGGATTTGGGGGCCGTCTTCGCCTTCACCTTCCTCCCTCCTTGACAGATGAGAGATTCTTTTCCTATTCCGACAAAAATCCGCCCATGCGCATACATACATACACACATACATACACAAACAGACACAGACACACACACAGACACAGACACAGACACAGACACACACACACACACACACACACACACAACACAAACACACACACACACACACACACACACACACACACACACAACCCCCCAAACACACATCCCCCCTCCACACACACACAAAAACAAACACACCACACAACCCCCCCACCCCCCCCCCACACACACACACACTCACATGCACTGAGTTTGCACTGGCGCCCGCAGCAACCCGGCGGGAATCCCTTGAATCCAGCTTTTCAGAATATAGCAACGGGGTCAATTTGCATATTCCGAACTGATCGACGCCTACGCAATAATCACATGTGTGATCACTGAGTAAATGTAATCGTTATTAATGCTTTGTTGACTTCTCTGATTTTTTTTTTTTTTTTTTTTTTTTTTTTTTTTTTTTTTTTTTTTTTTTTAGATTATCATGCTCTGTATACATGGGTGTGTGTAAGTATATGTATGTAATTTTTATGGCTTTCTTTCTTCCTGTCCGTCCGTCTGTCTGTCTGTCTGTCTGTCCTGTCTGTGTCTGTCTGTCTGTCTGTCTGTCTGTCTGTCTGTCTGTCTGTCTGTCTGTCTGTCTGTCTGTCTGTCTGTCTGTCCATCCATCTATCCATATATCTCCCTTTATATGCACATAAAGAACTCACTCCCCTGCACACTTACACACACACACACACAGCCATACTCATACCCACACCCACACTCACACGCATACCCACACTCACGCCTACTCTCGCCCACACCCCTGCACCTGAAGAAGTTACATCACCTTCCACCTTGTCTCGCCGCCGCCCGTCATCGAATGCCCCTTACCTGGAAAGGAGGAAAATTTTATCAGGAATGATTACAAGGAAAATTATAACAACAATAATAATATCAATATCAATAATAATGATAATAATAAGAACAACGATAACTATATTGACAACAACAATAACAACAACAACAATAATAATGATAATAATAATGATAACAATAATAATAATGACAATAATAACAATCCATACTTCTTAATACCGTTGCCTGTGTATAGATCAATACGTTTGGGGTCTTATGTTTACGTTTGGATAAGTGAGTGTTGTAGTGTTGTGTAGTTTCTGTATGAGCTATACTATACCATACAGAGTGTGTATAAACAAACAAATGCCCACAAGCATACATGCAAGTATCTATACGTATGTACATAAAATACACACACACAAATACAATCACGGATAAATATCGAAATACACATTTAAAAAAAAAACTCTTCCCTCGGAAATCCTCATCACCCCGATGATGAAAAGGAGAAGCTCAAAAAAAAAAAAAAAAAAAAAAAAAAAAAAAAAAAAAAAAAAAGCAGCAGCAGCAGAGTCAAGGCACCTCTAAAAATAATCGGGAACACCGTTGACGCAAGCGCGTGACGTAACACCAGGGAAACACACGCCGTTCAAGGTGGGCTCTGCCGGCGCCGCTGCTCCCTTCCTTATCTCCCGCCGGGCCCGTCGCCTCGGGAGCGGCATCCATGGGTTGTGGGGAAGGAGGGGTGCCGTGTTCGTCGTGTGTGTCTGCCATAATACGCGTTCACAGAGACGCAAAATCAGCGACGTCACAGATCCACATTTAGACAGAGACAGACAGACAGACAGACAACAGACATAAAGAAAGACAGAAAGACACAGATGCACAGAAACACAGTCAAACACACGGACGCACGCTCAATGTGTTTACAAACATCTCTCCCTCGAGAACTCATGCCTACGACGCCAGCACCCCGACGCATTCACGCTACAACACTGCGCCCACTTTTTATTCCCCCCCCCCCCAAAAAAAAAACGACAACCAAAGACAAAAGCCACGACCCTGCGTGCAGCCTCATCACCTTTCGCGTGTAAAAGTCGTCTCGGAGTCGCCTCTTCCTGGACGGATCCCACCTCGCGCCAGGCTGTCTGTCTGTCTGTCTGCCCTTCTCTCGCCCCCGACCGGTAGCGCAGGTCCCTAGCCCGCACACACGCACACACACAGGCACACAACACAACACACACACACACACACACACACACACACACACACACACACACACACACTCATCAGAAACCCCTTCTGGAACTCCTCCTTACTCCGACTCCTTCTCTCGACCTTAAAAAAAAACACCTTCCTTTCTCGACCAGACTGACTCGTCGCGGCTACTCCCTCGACCTCTCGTTCTTTTTAACAAAAGTGTACTACAAAAGCCACGTTGTCTGCGAGACGCGAGGCGAGACTCCAACGTGGAAAAGGTCAGTTGCAAGAATCGATAACACTGACGAGGATTTTTTTTTTTTTTTTTTTTTTTTTTTTTTTTTTTTTTTTGGTTTTAATGGCAACGTGAATCAACTTTCTTCTCTTTCAAGCAAACCCTCAAAGACCGTCATTTTCACGCATCGATCTGGGAAACAGAAGAGGAAAAAAAATAAGAAAAGAAAAGAAAAAAAGAAGAAGAAAAAAAAAAGAAAAGAAAAAGAAGAAAAAAAGAAAAGAAAAGAAAAGAAAAGAAAAAGAAAGAAAAAAAAGAAGAAAAGAAAGAAAAAGAAAAGAAAAGAAAGAAAAAAGAAAAAGAAAGAAACCGCCTCGTCCCCCCCCAAAAGGCCTACATTCCCGAGGTTTGAGGTGGATGAGCAGGCGAGGGGGCGGGGCGGGCCGGGGCACGGCGGGCACGGCGGGGCCAGCGGAGCGAGGGGCGAGCGGGCACCAGTGAATGACTCGCAGGATCGGGCTGCCGGTCATGCACGGACCAGCGTGTCCAGGTACGCCCGCGCCCTCTCCCACGCCTCGCAGGGGAGCGCCAGGGGCCTCGCCGACTCCTGCCGCCCGCGCTGGCTTACGTAACGCGCCTCGGTCTCGTCTTTTCCCTTGACCTTTCTTTCTCATTCTCTTTCCGTTTCTTCTATCTCCTCTCTCTCACTCTCTCTCTCTCTCTCTTTCTCCCTCTCCCCCTCTGCCCCTTCTCCCTCCTCTCTCTCCCCCTTCCTTCTCTCTCTCTTCCTTCCTCCCTCTCCCTCTCCCTCTCCCCCTCACCTCCCCTCCCTCTCCGCCGCAAACGTCTCAACTATCTCTTACGCCTCGACTCGGCACACGTAATGAGGAAAAGATTGCAACAAATTCAAGACGCGAAGAATCTCCCCTTAACCCGGCTGGTGTTCAGAATCTTGATGCCACACACACACGCTGTCGTTATCTTACCCTAAAAGGCATAGCGGCGTCTTTTGCACATTCAAACCAACAACAACAAAAAACAACAAAAACAACTACAACACCAACGACAACAACAGCTTCGCGCTCGCTGACCTTTGTCCTCGTGTTTTGTAACCGCAGTCGACTTTCCCTGAACGGACACTCGGATTAACGGCCAAAAAGGTCGACGCTTCCTAACCTAAGACAGACGTATGTTTTCCCTGAATATCTCCCCCCCTCCACCACAACCTTCCTGCTTCACAATCTCTTTGCCAGTGACCAAAGCTTTAACATAGCTTTAATTGCAGCCTCTTTACGCCTCTCCATTTAACAAAAGTCGAACATAAACCTTCTACCGTCTCCTTCCGCCCCGCCAATGACCAAAGCCTTAACAAGAAACTCCTTAAATTCAAAGCAACAAACTCTTAACACAGCGTTGCAACTCTCCGTCCCCACACTTCAACATATAGGCCTACCTACTGCAGGCTCCCCACGCCCGACCAAACCTAACACAGCTCCGTCGCAGCACGCCCCACCAAAGACCAAACCTCTAACAGCGCCGTTGCAGCCCTCCCCCCGCCCCACCGAAGACCAAACCCCTAAACAGCTCCGTCGCAGCCCTCCACGCCCCACCGAAGACCAAAACCTTCGACGCAGCCCCACACCAGGCCCTCGACGCCCGCCAACGACACCACCTGGCGAGTCTCCCGAGCTGCCCGTGCGAATTCCAGACGAGACCTTTTCTGCGCTCGTCTCCAAATGCCATTCGCTGGACGACTTCGCGCGGACAGGTCGATGAGCGTCTGTCCTCCTCGTCTCCGCATCTTAAGGGATCAAAATAGAAACTCGGGGAATTCCCTCACCCGGTCGATATCCACGCGAGCGATATTAGATCACACGGGGAAAGCCGCAATGAAAATGATATTGCTTGGCCTTACGCGAAAAAAAAACTGCAACGTGCGTGCTTACCTTTGAGTTTGAGCTTCAGGAGTAAAATATCAGAGAAATGTTATAAAAGGAGTAAATGTTATCCTTTACGTGGACTGGCAGTGATTGCACAAACTTCGAAGCCAAGGAAATAATAATCAAAGAAGAGAAAGGGGATGGCGGCCAGACGCCCCAAAAGCTACATCAATTCTTCTTTTGCTTCTTCTTCGTTTTGTTCTCGTTCTTCTTTTTCCAGTCTGTCCTCCACTTCCTCACTTTCCCTTTCATCCTAGCCCACGTCCATTCGCTCGTCCTCCCCCATATTCGTTTCCCTCTATCTCGATTACATCTTTGTTAATCCTATTTTCAATAATTATCATTTTCATCGTCGTCGTCGTCGTCGTCGTCCTCCTCCTCCTCCTCCTCCTCCTCATCATCATCAATCATCATCATCATCATCATCATCGTCATCATCATCAATCATCATCATCGTCATCGTCATCATCATCGTTATTAGTATTATTATCATAAAAAATACCTTGATAAAAAACACTGAAGCAACTGAATTGTTTGGAATTTGTCTCCTGTTGGATCTTCCTTCGTGCTGGCGTAGCCTAACTGGCATGGGTGGTGATGACAGGGAAGATAATGACATGGCAACGCTAGGCGATGGTGCCATCACGGACAGCTTGGTATAATGCCAATGTAGTCGTGTAGCTAGGCCTACAAAAGCGCTTCTAAGTGATATGCACGTATTCCTATCTGATCTAAAAGCAACATACATTTCAAAGACCCCGAGCATTTACGTACAGAGGTGACCCCCGCCCCGCCCCTCCCCACACCACCTTTCGGCGCCAGGAGCGAATCGCCGCCACCGTGACAGACAGAGACCCCCCCCACCCCCCCACCCCAACGGACACTGTGGCGTGATGGCGTGCGGTGAGCTAATAGGGCGGTGCGTGCGGTGCGGCGATCGGGGCGGACGAGAACCCGCGTCCGGAGCCGTCGATACGCGATGGTGGTACTCCCGCTGTATTACACCCAGATCCATACTCGTCCCCGCAAGTACTGCCAGACCCCCAACATACCGGCATCCGTCGCCACACAACTACATCCCGTTATGTCCCTTTTCTTCCCCACCCGACGGTTCAACTAAGCGAAATGAATGAGGAAAGGGGATAAAAATAATACGAACAAGAAAGAAATCCTAATGATAAACTCCCACGCCAAAACCTCATGCAATAAGGCTTCGAGGAAGTTCTCATTACGTTTAAGAGGATGACGAAGAAGGGAAGAAAATGCTGGAAAAACGTGCGCCGAATGTGATGAAATCAGCTGACTGAAGAGAGAAAGGTCATGAACAGAGGAGCTGGTGAACAGTTGGAGAGAATACAGTTTGCAGGATACAGCAGCGCAGGAACGGAGACGATCCTGATGCAGATAAGGGGAGGAAGGAGGAGGAGAAAACATAATAATGTGAGCATAAATAATGACATAGATTTGATTTGATTTGATTTTTTATTTTTTTTTTCTAAACTTACACAGAAAGAGAATAGAGAGTGAGGGGGAGGCGAGGCGAGGGAGAGGGAGGTGAAGCGGGAGGGAGAGGGAGAAGGAGTGTGAGGGGAGAGCGATATATATATATTATATATATATATATATATATATATATATATATATATATATATATATAT